TACAAGTCCTAGATGGACAGTTCATCTAGTTGGCAGCGATTTAAAACACTGGGAGGTCAAATCTGGCCCTCAGAAGTGACTTCATAACCTCAGATATTAGCTCATGTAGCAACAAGCGACTCATAAACGAGATTCAGGCAGCAGAAAGGTGTCAACAGGATGTTGCCACTAAAGCTAAATGTTAACGCTTAAAGGAATAAAAATAACATCCATCCCCTGCAGGGAATTTATTTAATCTCAGCTCTTCCCTGCCATTGTAAACCACTGCTATCAACTTCAGCTCCCAAATAGGCTTTGATTTCTCATGTTTTCCAGCTGTTTCCATGTTTCCAGGATGTATCTGCACAGAAGTCTCTGCCAGCTCCCCACGTGTTGTAACCCCAAGCTCCGGGGCACTGTGAATCGCAGGGCGAGCTGGCCCCGTGTTTCTGGCCAGCGGCACAGACCCGCTCACCTGCCGGCCGCCCTGCCCAGCAGCCCTGCCCAGCGGCGCTCTAGGCTCTCCAGCTGGCCAACGATCTTCTCCCGGTCCGCGGGCTCTGCCGACTGCGCGATCCTGCCGCCCTCCGCTTGGATCATCTCAACGGTGGCTTTGCGATCATCCAGGAGTCGCTGGAGCAGCTTTAGCATCGGTAGTGAAACAAAGGAGGATAAGAGTTACCAGACTGGATCAGCAGAACCTCTTCTAGCCCTCAGAGATAGCAAATCTCTAACTGTGGCTGAAAACCACTATAAGCACAGAGCTGAGACCAAAGCCAGCCCAGTGGGACAGCCTCTGCCACCAAAACCAGTTAAAAAAAATAAAATAATGTAATAATATGCTTTAACTTTTGGTCAGCCCTGAAGTGGTCAGGCAGTTGGACTAGATGATCATTCTAGGTCCCTTCCAACTGAAATATTCTGTTCTAAAAGAGATTCAAAGCACTTCTGTGCCAAAGAAGTTTTCAGAGGCCTCCCCATCATCCCCCCAAACTTACCAAGTTTTAATTTAACTTTCACTTTAAATAAATTTCCTCTTCAAAGCCTCAATATGTCGCACCACGCTTCAGTAAGAATTCATTTTTAAAATGCTTTACCACGAGCATACTTGAACTTTCAACCGCCTGCTCACAAGGGCAGGCGCCGACCCAGGCTGTTATCTCTGCAAACACCGGCACGCCTCCGGCCGGTTCTTACAGTTTGTACATTCGTTTTGTCCAAATACCCAAAGCGGTACCCACAACGCCAGCTTGCTCCTGACGCAGCAGAATTACCAGCACAAACAAAACTTAAGGCTGGAAAAACACGGCTGACTAGCAAAACCAGCAGCAAACTTCAAGAGGCAGTGGGACAATAAAGTAAGGCTGGTGATTTAGACGATGGAGATAGCGAGTGTGGGCAAACGAGCTGCCTGCTTATTACATTAGGATGTGGGGAATCAGAAGATCCACCGTGAAAGAAGCAGGCTTGTGGACATCCCACCTACGCCTTCTCTGTTACAAACGGACCCGTGAAATACTATCTGGCTGTCAAAGCTCCCCCTCCCATTGAGCCCACCGTAGCCCTGTGCTTGCTCACCTTCTGCTCCTGGATCTGAGCTTTCACCACCTTGTACTCCGCAGAGGGAGGTTTCTGGTTGGAGATGAGCTCCTCAGTGTCCGCCAGCCAGCTCAGCAACGGCTCCAGGGCGTCCTGAAACTTCCCGCAGTGCAACAAGGCCTCTTGCAGCTGAGCAACTCTTTGGGCCACCTGCACCCAAACACAACCCCATTGTATGGTCAGCCTGGTGATGCCTTGAGACTGGAGCCTCAGCTCCCTGTTGATGATGCCTTTCTTCTACCAGACCCCAACGGAGCTGAGAGAAACCAGTTACAGCCCCTCCCCATGCTCTCACCTTCTTGTTGAGGGTGTTCCAGCGCGTGTTGATTTCTTCCATGTCATGCTCCAGGCCTTGGACGTCACAGTTTTTCCCAGCGCTTTGGATGAGTCCTTGACCAACCCCATTGACTTGCTGTAGTTTTAGCTGGAGAGGATCCACTTGCTCCTTCTGGAACAGCTGGGGATGAGAAAGGTAGGAGAAAAAAGGTATTTATAACCTATAACCTGCTCTTACAGCCCCTCCAGCATTCAAGAGATAGAACAGGCTTTCTTTTCTACAGAAGATGAAGTAGCTATTTGCACTCATTTTAATAGAGTTGAGCAAGTTTTTCTAAACTCCTCCCTAGCCTTGACCCAGTAACACAGATCTCGCAGGCACTCGCTGATGTGGAGCACAGCTTGGGACCTATACGCATCCACCTCTGCTTTTAAATGGGTAAATCCCCTTTTTCCGAGCACTGGAGTGAGGTGGAGAGAGTAAATTGGGGAAGAAATGAGAGCATCGGCTCTGGTCAGCCATCAGATTGGGAAATAATGCTCCTGAGGAAAAACCCAAAGCAATTCTCACAGTGATGCTATTGAGAACAGAGACCTGACATCACACGAGTTTTGTTAACCACGAAATTACAGACACCGAGAAGCTGGCTGTATTTCGAAAGACAAAGGCAATGGACAATTAATGTGCTAGTCATTTACTGCACCGCATATTTGGCATGGTCCTGCCTGGGAATCCTGTGGGGAAAAGGCTTTTTAAACCAAAAAAGATTTGATAGGGAAGGGGGAGGAGAGGGAATGAAGCTCCCCATTGTAAAGAGAGGCAGCAGGGAAAATCCTGTTTCCGCCAAGGAGATAAGCGCTCTTTATCAGAGCCGTGGATCTGCTGTAACCACCCGCTGACACTGACACGGCCGCCCGTGCACGGTCCCTCTCCTCTCTGGCACTGCTGGGGCGGCCGCACAGCCTCGTCCCAAGGGACAAGCCTGCTGCTTCCCTCCCAAAAAAAAAGGAGCGGGGTCCTTCATCGCTTACTCTGGTCCCTTGGAGCACAGCCCATCCAGAGCACAGGTCACCCCGCACCCAGCACTGGACAGGATCACAGCTCTTGGCCCTGTCGCAACGTTTTCTCTTTGGAAAGCGGAGGGGATCGCAGCCAGCCGCCTGCTTTCTCAAGCGTGCCTCCTCCTCACGTGCCCGAGAACACACAGACATTGATGGCATCGAAAAATTCCCACTTGGATGCAAGCTCTCTCCTAGCAGAGCAGCGGCTTGTGGATGGCACAGCTCTCCGGACCCGGCAATCACTTGCCTCCCTTCGGAACACAAGGCAAGCAAAAAAACCCAAATGCAAAAAAAAAAAACCCAAACACACACACACAAAAAGTTCTCTGCCTGAGCAAGAGGGGCCTCCTTGACTTTTTTTGCCCCATTTTCAAAGAAAAAGCTATTTCTTCCCATCAAAGCTCAGCAACTCAAGGGCAGGGAGGTATCGCTCCCGGACACAAACCGAAGGGTGTGCTGGCAGACATTGTCCAGAGATGTTTGCTCAGGGAGAATTATGCCACGGTTACAAGAAATAAAAGGTGACACGAAATCACCGATTCCCCGGCCGCTTCTCCTGTTACTGTTTATATATGGAGGTGGCTGTTAGAGCAGCCAAACCCACAAAAGAATCAGGCTGATAAGTCTGGCATGCCGGGCTGGGTCTGAGCCCTCCACACGCTGCAAAAACAAACTCTAGGGCTTCGAAGCAGCCAGGCAGGGAGGGAGCCCCGCAGAAAGCCCGGCCATCCGACCCACGGGTACCTGCAACATGTGAATGGGTACAGCCCGGAGCGCGACGCTGCACAAGGATAATCACACTAATGGCCTGAGGGGCGAGCACGTCCAACACACTTGTTTTTCTTTGCTCATAAAAGATTCCAGCGATTTAGTTCATTAACCTCCCTGTGAGTCAGCTTTGAAACAAATATTTAACGTACACCCTTTGCTGGGCAGGGAAAGGCGCAGAGCGAGGTGTCCTGCCCGGGTGAAGCGGCTGGACAGACATCTTGGTGAGCAGAAGGACGTCTGCTCTGCCACACCTCCTCCTCGCTCCCAGAAATGCTTCCCAAAGCACCCCCTCACTTTCTGCTTCCCTCATCTCCCGGGCGGCCGCGCTCCTTAACCCCACCACTGCCGAACGCAGAGCCTGTCCCCGTGGTGGGAAGAACTGGCAGCGCCTGGGCATTGCCCTGCTGCAGACCCAGAGCTACCAGCAGCTTCAACAACGTTTGAGCAAGGGGAAAATTTACGGGGCTAACAATCGGAGATGTTGCGCATAAAATAAGGGTCCCACCAGCAAAGCAATGCTCACGCCAAAGCAGGGAATTTCAGACAACAGATGTACAACGGCAAGAACCCGATGGCTTTTCCTCCCTAAGGTGCACGGTCAGTGCCCCAGCCCATGCTCACATGGACCCCCTCCATGTGAAGGCATCTCTCCAAGCCCATGTGCATTTCTTAAATGGGTGTCACAGCCTAAAAGATGAGTAATTGCTACCGAATCGGGATTTTCAGCGCTGACTAACTTCTGAGGTCTCCTTAGTGATATTTCTCCTAATCCAGATGGCAGTAAATCAGCGCTCGGCTGTGGGAACTCCACCACCGAGGTCTCTCCAGGCGAAAGCCACACGGCAAAGCAAATCCCCAAATGGCAGAGAGAATCTGAGCCCCTTCCCGCGCACGTTCAGAGCCCCAGCACCTTATTGCTCACTTAAAAAGCTACAGAAAGCAGTGACTGCGCACGACAGGAATTATTTGCACTTAAAACAACTTGTTTTACAGGAGTATCTCTTCCAATATATTTTCTGCTTCGAAGATGGGAACCACTCTGCCAGGATCTGGCAAGAAGGGTTTTCTGAAGTCTGTGATTTATGTCTGAGTGACCAATAAGCCAAAAAAGTTTTAGACAATAGTTTAGGTCATCAAGCAGCGATAGCCTTTTGCCTCCCCTACTTACAAAAACACACAATTCCCCCCCGCCCTGAAACTTTTTGCCTGCCAGATTCAAGCCGAAATCAGGAGGCAGAAGGCTGTTTTGAAGCCTGAACCCCGCAGATCGTGGCCACGCGTTACCGAGTGGGCTCCCATCTCCCACCCACCCCTCAAGTGTAAAATAAAGCAATTTCTGTGCCCGAAACCCCATCTGCGAGCGCCTGAGCAACAAATACCTCGTTATCTGGAACAAATCCATCTGGTAGAGCAGGAGGCCCTTCTGCGACGAGAGCAGTGGCAAGGAGTCCCTCTGTGCCCACGGGCACCTCTCCCTCGCCGGGTGCTGGGGCAGGGGTACCCCCACGGCTGGGGGGACGGAGGGTGTCCCCCAGCTCGGCCTCGGGGAGGGTTTGTGCAGCGGGTGCCGTGGTGGAGGGTGCGCCCAGCAGCTCATGCAGCTCTGGGGTGGTGGGTCCCTCTGGGAGGGGTGGGAAGGTGGAGAGGGGACCCTCCATGCCCGGCAGCATGGAGGCACTGTCCCAAGCTGCCACCTCAGCTGCAGGTGCTCTTGCCATGAGGTCGTCCTCCAAAGCCGGCGCTTTGGTGGATAGGTGCTCCAGTATGGGCAGCACAACCATGTCGGCAAAGTCATCTGTATCCCCCAAGACCACTACTGGCCCCCCAACTGCCAGCAGTGCAGGGCCACTCCCGAGATCCCCAACACCACAGACAACTGGGTCGGCCGCTTGTGGTGGCACACTGGTAACAGGCACATCAGCAAATGGTGGTGGGGCATCCAGAAGCTCTTCCACCGCCAAGGGCACGGCAGTAGAGGTGGCATCTGGAGGTAGGTGCTCAATATACGGTTCCTCAGCATCTGTGGTAGGATCCCCAGTGGTCGGTGGCATCTCCTGAGCCTGGGACTCTGGGACAGCCACATCCCCGGGTGCTGGTGGTTCAGTTGGAGCAGAAAGCCCCCCAACATCCCATGGGATGGCATCAGGAGAAGGCTGTCCCACAAAAGGCGACATGCCAGGAAGTTCTTCTGGGGCGGCCAGGCTGGCAGCAGGTGGGACCCCCTCACCCAGCACCACAGTACAGCACTGCGCTGCCAGCTGGTCCTCCCAGTCGCAGGCAAACAGCAAGTCCAGGTCTCCTGGCTGCAGGATGGCTGCCGGTGCCTCCCCATGCATGATAGCCACCTCCACAGGGGGCACCTGGGCATAGGCAGACCCTTCTAGAGCCAGACCCTGGCCCAGGGGAAAAGTTTCCTGCAGGAGGTCCTCAACAGGCACTGGGGATGTCACTGGAGCCTCGGAGCCCGGCTCTGATGCAGAGCCAGCAGGGAAAGGCAGCAGAGAATCAGGGCAAGCATTCCTACTTTCTGCCAGATGAGTCTGGCCCTCAGCTCCATCACTCTCTGATCCCAAATCTGTGGCTTCATCCTCAGAAACCAGCTCTGGGATATCCCAGTTGGTGAGCTCAGTCCTTCCAGGCAGAAGGTGATGGGTCCCAAATGGATCCATCCCCTCAACATCGGCCTCGTTGTGCTGCGGGGGAGACCCCAGCTCCTCTGCCACTGTGCCAGGAGCTGGGGTCTGGCAGGGGGACAGCCCAGTCAGAGACACTCGGCCAGGACAGGTCTCCTCAGAGAGCTGTGATACTTCCCCCTCAGGGACCAGCAAGTCTTGGTCATCTTCACCCCAGCCCACTGGAGCGCTGAGGTAACCAGCTCCCTCCAAGCCAGAAGCCGGACATGCGCCTGTCTCAGGAGATGGCATGTCACCAGCCACCAGCATCGCCACCACACAACTGTCCACGAGCTCCGGGTCCACCAGCGGGTCAGGTTCATCCTCCCCCGCCGGTACCGGAGAGCACTGCTGGAGAGAGCCCAGCCCCACCGTGGCCACAGGACTGGGTGAGGCCCCTCCATCCGAGTCCGTCGGGGTGATGGCTGAGGTGTCCCTTTCCGAGAAGGGCTCTGTCGCTGGCTCCAGCGTGCTCAGCACCTGCGAGCTGCAAGTGACATCAAAGTCCTCCAAATCCGACACGACGGCAGAGTCCGAAGCACTGATGTCCAAAGGGGCTGTACGCTGACGTGCTTCGACCACTGCCCCGGCCAGTTTGGCCGAATCTGGGTCTAGCCCCTCCGAGTCCACTGGAGAGACTTGAACGTCCACGTGGCCAGGGACAGCCCCATCGCCCTCGGCCTCGTTCTGGCACTGCTCTTCCAGCTCCAGGAACATCTGCACCGAGTCCGTGTCGGACAACTCGGGGACCACAGGGCTGGCTGAGAGCTCAGAACACGGAGCAAAGTCCTCGGCCTCGCACTGCACCGCTGCGTCCTCGGTACAGCACGCGCTGCCGGTGAGGGGGCTGCTGGCACCCCCTGGGGATGCACAGGACCGAGAGGTCCCTGGGCTGGGGGCAGAGCTGTCTGCCGGAGCAGCAAGTTGTTCCCTTTCTTCAGAAATATCTGCCAAGCAACAGCTCTTCTTCTCCTCTGCCACCAGAACAGCCTTTCCTCTCTCTGACAGCGTCGCCTCCTCCCACTCCTCCATCATCACCCAGCGCTCGTCCTCCTCAAATCTCAGCTCAGACTCCGTTTTCTCCCTGAGATTGGAGGTGATGAGAATATCCAGTCCCGCATCCAGCAGCTCTTCACTAAGGCACGGAGAGAGGTTGACGTTCTCCACTGTACAGTCCGACTCAGAGGCCTCCAGGGTCTCCTGGTGCCCATCGCTGAGGCTTCCCTTGATGAAATTCTTCCTGGCTCGTGGCCAGGTGGCACTGGGGAGCCGGCGAGCCCTGGCCAGGTCCCCAGTGTGACCGCGGCCATCACCAGCATTCAGCAGGTTCTGGCACTCATCCCGGGGACCGCTGTAGCCATCTGTGCCAAACTGCTTGGCCGTCAGAGCCTCCGCCGCACCGGATGACTTGGAGACATGTTCCAAGGTGAGAGACTCGGACATGGGCTCACCGTGGTCGGGCTGGCCCGCGCACTCGGTCAGCATGGCACTCGACTCCCGCTTATCCCGCAGGGAAGGGTTGGAGGCGCCCGCTTCCGACACCTCGCTCAGCGAAGCCCCCATCCGTTCTGCGAATTCGGTGAAGTTTGGCGGCATGAAGGACTTCCACGACCGCCGGTTGACGTTCTCCTTCCTCTCGGGGTTTGGTCGTCTCCTCGGTGGAGCTGGTGCTGGCTTGGAGACGTCGCTGCTGAGCTTCAGTGCGTCAAAGATGACTCGCTCGTCCAACTTCTTCGTTTCTGGTGGCCTGGACTCAAAGACATTGGCAGCTCCCAGAGTCCCGTTGCTGGATATGGTGCTGCCATCCCCCTTGCCAAGGGTGCTCTTGGAAAGCTGGTTGAGCTTCGATCCCTGATCGATTTGCTCGTTAATTCTCATCGTGTCATATATTGACCTCTGGGGCACGTAGCAATCCTCTATATAGCCATCCTCATCCTCGCCCTTCCCCAGGCAAGTGCGGTTCTGCCGTAAACAGTCTGGCCGGCTCAGTGGTTTGCCCATGCTCTCGTCCTTAGGGGTGACGAAACCGCCCCGGCAACCTTTCGCCTGCCACCGCAGGAAGCATCACATGGCCAGCAGGTCCCAAACCCGCCGTGGCAAGACTCTAATCCCACAGCAGCAACGACGCTACGGGCACGGGAGGGTGCGCCGGCAGCACCGCGCTGGCTCAGCAGCACGACCGGCGGTCCCGAGCAGCGAAACAACCCATCTCATCCCCCCCGGCCCCCCTAAAAAAACCCCATCCATCAGCAAAAACCATCCAGCTTCGACAAAATATTCCCAGTCACCGGTTGCGACAGAAACCTCGGAAGAGTTTGAAGCTCTTAAATTATCCCGTCTGTTCTTCTTTAATAACAAAGGCACTGCTTGTCCCGGCCGCTCACGTATCGCAGCCCGAGCGGCGAGTGGCTCCTCGCATTTTCTGCCCAGCTCTAAGTCCCGTGGAAGTCCAGCTGGTCTGAATTAGCCTCTCCCCCCGACTCTCGTGTTTTCATTTGAACTGAGCTTGTCAGCGGATATTCGTACAAGTTTAAACACAGGAAGTTCTTCATTCAGGGCAAACTCGGAGGTTTCCTGTCTCAAAAACATGATGGCATTGTTGTTCCCGTCACCCTGCCGCGACACCCGGGG